TGCACGAAATGTTGGACTAAAGCTAATTCTAGTTTATAAACTTATTTACAATTTACCGTTATTTTCGTTATGACTTTATATAAATTAAGTTAATATGAATTGGACGTAGTTACTCAATAAAGGTTCAAAACGCTTGAATCCTTTTTGTTAAAAGTTAATTTTATTAAAAGGCGTAGGAAGGTAATTTTAGATAGCGAGAATACATTTGACATTAAAAATGAAAACAATAAAAATAAAGAACCTTTTATAAATAGTTTTTCCAATTGAATTTTGGCGTTTCAGTTTCATTATTCTATTATTTCTTCATTTGGGTCGTTTTTGAGATTTGTTTTGTAAGAATAAGGTAATTAAAATCAAAATATATCGAAAAGGATCCAAACATACTTTAACCTTTATATATTAATTTAATAAATATTGTTAGTTTTGTTAAAATGACATTATAATAAGATAATGTAAGTGGTTTACTATGCTATTAGATAAAAATATAAAACACAAAAATGTTACATCAACATGCAAATGCAGCTTAAACTTTAATGTCTATATCTCAAAAGTGACATTGTATGGGATGGACCCTTTTTGATTAACTACGTCCAATTGATAAATCTGCATTCATAATATAATGGACAAATAAGACAACAGACAGTCATATATACTATATATATAACTATAAGTATAGATATATATGTAGGTATATCTAGGTAAGTGGTAAGGTAAAGTGGAAAGATATGATTATTTGTTTGTTTGCATCGAAAAGGCTCCGAAACTATTGGACCGATTTTTAAAAATCCATCTACGGTTAGCTACATCATATGCGGTGAACATAGGCTATATTTTATCCCGAAAAACAGCAAATAAATGAATGAAAATGGGCGTCCAAGTTTGTATAGGGAATTAAAACGTTACCATAGTAACCATTGTTTACTGTTCAATTTGTCATTGTAATTATATCCGTGTCATGATATGAAACAGTTCCCTAGAGACTACGCGGGTGAAGCTGGTGAAAAGCTAGTGTTAATATAATAGTAAGTAGCGTTAAGTTTATGGAAGACTCATCGACTCCCGTCGTTGGTTGAACGTCACAATTGACAAACATATGATATGATATTGGAGAAAAAGTCTTTTCGCATATAGTATACATAAACTTGTTATAAAATCTTTCTGGCATTTGTTTGGTTTCGGTATACTTAAAAAGTTTAAATTTGAAAGAAGATAACCTCGAATTCAAATTATAAAAATGGGTGATTTTCATTTGTTTTTCTCACTGTTAAAATGAGTAAATGTAATTAATAAATACGAAACATTTTAAAATTTTATTACAAAAAAAGGTTATGGGCCTAGTGTAGTTTTTGTAAGAGTAGCACAAATTTGGTTTAAGCGTTTTCAGTCCGGAAACTTTGATTTCAAAGAGGCACGACGCTCCGGTTGTCTTGTTACGGATAAAATAGATGCCATTTTTGAAAAAGTGGAGCAAGGTCGGCATATCCGAAAGAAACCTAATGAACCGTGTACTCATTTGTGATTCTTCATTACGTTGTAATGAAACCGAACTATTTTTGAAGAAACTGATAACTGGTGATGAAAAGTGGATCACGTGCGACAAGAACGTGTGATAAAAGGTCATGGTCACAGGTCGGTCAGGCTTCATGCGAAACCCGGATTAACTCGCAACAAGATGATGTTGTGTGCATAGTGGGATTGGAAGGGCATTATTTATTATGAGGTGTTACCACCAGGCAGTGCCATTGATTCTCTACTCTCTTGTGAACATCAGATGGGATTAAAGCATGAAGTTGAGAGAAAGCGGCCAGAATTAATTCTTTAAGCAGTGTCAGGTTAACATCACGGAGAACTGCCAAAACCACTTGACGCGGTTATTTAATCAGAAGCCCTAAAATTTCTATAGCAATGAGATCATGTCCCTACTTACAAGATGGCAAAAAGTTATCGAACAAAATGGTACCTACATACTGTAGTTAAATGTAAATAAACTTTATGAAAATCGATTTGAATTTTCATAAAAAATGCGAAGAAACTTTTCTCCCAACCTATTATTTATCCTTGCACATTGACGAATGACCCGCCGCGTATTAACGTTCACTTCGTAAGACGATTAAAATTCACAATTTCTTATTGCACCCTATTTTACAACGGGGAAATTAATAAATATGGAAGTCATTATATAGCCGAGGGAATTATGCAACACTTTTTTTTACAATAATCGTAATATTTTGCTACTATTTGCTTATAATCAATTTTGGCGTGCAATTCACCACCCTCTGTTTCTATTTGTCTTACCGAGTACATTGAGATAGACACGGACGGGGTTTATTAAGCTTTTAAAAATACTTATTTAAACCACCTCTCGTTCTCATAACGTCAGGAGTGAGGGTAATAATGTCAATGACTGCAGCAAAATCTGCTTAGTATCTAGATACGAGGGTCAAACTGAAAGTTCTTAGAAAATCAAAAACTGATTACATTAGCCAGTTATTAGTTTTATTATATCTTTTCAAATATTGTCCATTCACGTCAATACACCGCTGCATGCGATGGAACCACTGGGAAAAGCACTTTGCCCACTCGTCCTTAGGGGTCTCTTCAATGGCATCGCGATACGCAGCCACCGCTTCTTCAGCATTCATAAACCGCTTTCCTTTAAGTTTTTCTTTAATTTTTGGAAATAAATAAAAATCACAAGGCGCGAGGTCGGGGCTATACGGCGGGTGACCCAGTAATTCAACGTTTGATGTCGCCAAATAGTCGATCGTTCGCTTGGCGGTGTGCGACGAGGCGTTGTCGTGGTGAAGGAGGATCCTACTGCGAGGTCGTTTCTCTCGAACTTTTTCCAAGACAAGTGGCAAACAATTGGTAGTGTACCATTCTGCAGAAACTGTTTTTTGATCCTCTAACACAATTGTTGCAAAATGACCTATCCTTCCAAAGAACGAGGCCACCATTTTTTTTCCCGCACTTCGATCTCTCTTCACTTTAGTTGGCAACTCCTCGAAAGGAAACACCCACTGAGCAGATTGTCTTTTGGTTTTAGGATCATAACAGTAAATCCAGCTTTCGTCACCTGTTAGTATGTCGAACACAGCATTTGAGTCACCTCCGTTAAATCTTTCAATCATTTTACGACACCAATCCACACGATGGAGTTTTTGAGCCTCAGTCAAATTATGAGGTATCCACCGGGCGCAAAGCTTCCTGACCGCTAAATGTTCGTGGAGGATTTTGTGCACTTGACTCATACCGATGCCTAAGCTTGTCCGAATCTGTTGATAGGTCACTCTTTTGTCAGTCTCTATCATACGCCGCACAATACAGATGTTATCTTCAGTCGTCGCCGTAGAAGGCCGTCCCTCACGTAAATCATCAGTGAGATTAGTGCGACCACGTTTAAACTCATTAAACCAGTTGTAAACAGTCGCACGAGATGGGGCTTCATCGTGAAAGGCCAATCGTAGTCTATCATAACTTTCTTGTTGACTTAAATGACATCGAAAGTCATAAAAAATCATTGCACGAAAATTTTCTCGTGTTAAATTCATGATGACGTGACATAGACAATTTTCAATTTGCCGCCAAATCGTAAAACAAATGACAAATGAATGAAATATATACTCAGTAATATTGGCAAAGTTTTTATATTTTCAAATTTTAGAATTATTTTTTTATTATATTGTTTATAAGTGGCCAGTTCTAAGAACTTTCAGTTTGACCCTCGTATATTAGAAAACAAAGTCGCTTTCTGCTGTCTGTAAGCTGAAATCTTTTTAATTACACAACGGATTTTATTGCGGTATTCATCAATGGATTAAGGAAGGTTTATTTGTATAATACAGGACTAAGCAAGCGAAGTTGCTGGTGGTAAGCTAACAAATAATAAAATAGATTGGTCAGGACTCCTTGACATAGAATCAGGATCGAACCCTAAAGTTAGCGAGGACGAAGTGGACGTAAAGTTAGTCGTACTTTGATTTTTCCCTCTCATTATGTAAGGATACGAATCGAATAAATAATTTAGTCGTTCAACTTTCAAAGTTAAGCGTTTACTTTGCTTCATTAGATAACTTATACATATGCGGTAGGAAAAGCGTTTGCATCTAAATGTATAATTTAGATTCTCCGAAAAGTAAATTCAATTTTCCTTACAAAATTTATTTTCGGAACATGAAAACCTTGTTATAATAAATTACACCTTAAAGATATGATTTATACAAATGTATCTTTGATTCGCTTTCATTTCAATAGGCAAAATATATCTGTGAAGGTTTTATTCTTCTTTAACCTCATGCGTAAGTAATTAGTTATTAGTTCATTAGTTTAATAGCTATGTTATTGAATTTTCGGCTAATTTTTCTCCTTTTTAAATATTGGTTAGTTACTAATGAAGTGCTTGCCAACGAACGTTTAATTTTTATCGATGTACTAGCGGCTCATATCCGTTGCGTATAGATTCGATAATTCAGTTAATTTAATCAATATCGCTGCTACTCCTCATTTTTACCCATCATTTTTTATTTTTACCCGGCGGTATGGCAAAGCGAAAAGGAGGGTTATGATTTTCCCTCCCTCCCTGTTCCCTTATAATTTCGGAACTACTCATTGTATCTGGACAAATGAAGTATAATTAGAAGCGTCTTAGTTGTCCGCGTGCTATAGACTATGTGCCGTTACATTAAATTGGCAACAGCGCCCTCTAGAGAGCATAAAGTAAGAAACATAAAAATATATTATTTAATCATTCCGTGTAGGATATCAAATGAAAGGGTTTAATTAGCACCAATATATTGATAGCATTTGCTTGTAGTTTTGCCCAAATACACCCAAAAATTTATTCAATCAAAATATAAGTTTAAAAACTAAAACCCGACTACAGATACTTGGCCGAAAATTTAATACTTTGAAGTTGAGACTGAGAGATGTCAAATGTAGCCTATTATAATGACCCAACTGTAATAATATTTAAAGTTATCTACATATATAGAATTCGTTACCGTCTGTCAGGCATCCTGCAGTACTTCCAATCAGTTTCGCTATATTCTAGATTGTCAGCGAACACCAGCGTCCTCTCTATGAGTGAGCCCCGTCGCCATTTTCCCCGTAAGATGGCGCCACACGGATATCGCAATTCGCCGTCACCGTGAAACATGCCGTCGTTGAACTCTCCATCGTATATAACTTCTATAGTTAATCAGGGTTCATTTCAAATTGATAGTGAACCATAGTCATGCTTAAAACTATAATCCATAACAAGAAAACTAGATCGCATGTATATCTAAAGGTACGCGTTAATATATTGATAAGTTCAAAGTTACAATGGAACCTAATTTTTGTTGTAATATAATCTAATTTTAAAGGCATAAATGATAAATGTGTAAGACACCATACTCGAACATTTAATTACTTATTGTCATTAAACAAAAGTCGTTTTCGATGCTCTATTTTACGCAGTACTACATCATTAAATTTATTAATCAAATGTTTGTCTCTCTGCGCAATATTTAAGGTCGACTTGGTAGATATCATTAGTATGATAATTGGGGGTAGGCAGAAAATATTAAAATACATGACATGGCCATTATATACATCACAGACTGGTAATGTAAAATATGATACAATTACCAGCACTTCAGGTTATACAAATCTCTCGTATGTCTGTAAAAACCTTAATTTGTTCGACCTTTGGTTTGTAAAAGGAGGCGGAACATTTTATGAAAATATGAGAAGTGGCTGTGTATATTTAGATAGACTTAAACATACCTTAACTAAAACGCATGCTGCTTTTTACTCCACTTAAAGATTTTTAAACATGCAGAGACAATAATAATAATTTTCTTTATTTCTCCTCACAAATTCACATACTACACTATGGGTACATACATTTTTTTATAGTTAATTTTTAAAACCGTAATCATGAACACCAATTACGGTTTTAAAAATAGAAATTGGTAGATTAAAAAGAATAGTAATAGGAATTCCAATGGAATTCGTTACCATTAGGGAAAGTGTAAGTTCCATAACCGCTCATTCCGAGCACATCCCAGGTGCCTTTATATTTGGATCCCGTTGGAAACTGTTTCAAGGAGCGCTCCACCCTCGGGATATCAACGGACACACTCCTAAACACGTAAGTTATTATTCTAATTACATTTTATATGAAATATACAAGGTGACAGGAAATACGATACATTCCTTTAAAGGGTTTAAAGCAGAGTATATGTATAACAGCCAATTAGATCATGTCAATAATTTAGTATTCAAGATTTAAGATATTTTAGTGAAAATATCTTAAATCATAAACACACTTTTTAAGTGAAAATGTACCCCTGTAGTGTATTATACGGGTTTTTGTTTATTATTTCATTGTTTTCTGATAGGTCAATGACCAGAGAATCATAAAAAAACAATATAAACTGAAAATCATTGCAATTTTTAACTGATAAGAACTGAAAAATCAATTGTTGTATAACGAAAAAAAAAAAATGGGATGAATAAACTAAGATTTTCAAAAAATGCGTATGATATGTTTTGTACAAATAACTGAATTAACTTCCTTAATATGATACATTTCCTTAATGCATCACATTACTGTCGCCCTTTATATATTCTATTTGTTCTAGAACGTCTGTTTAATATGCATATATCTATAGAGTTCCCGAAATATATATTTTATGGGTCTTATTTCAAAACATGCTAAAACTTTTTATCAAGCTGAAATCGGACTTTTGAAAGATATAATACATTTTTTTCATTAAAACTTTTTTTCATTAGCTTTTCATTAAAACTTACAAAATCATTTGTAAACTTACAAAATATATTTAACATGTCATAATGTTCGATCTTTTTTTTTAACGTAATAACAAGGTATTATTAAAGTGTGGTACGATTCTTTTAGAGTATAAATAGACAATGCTATGTGTTATAAGCTGTTCCTTTACCACGTCTCAACTTAATTTTATATTTCAGTCACGTTCTCTTTCACAATCTCGTTTGTAAGTTCTTTAGGTGAGGTCGTGATTTATGATGATACTACTTGTATATTGCGGCGACTCATGATTTTCAAGATATCAAATAGGTTTTTGTCATTTAACAATAAACGATAAACTTTTAGATTAATGAATGTCTTCAATAATATATAGGATCTAAAATTCAAAAATATATTATTTTTTCTACAATAAAAGAGATTAAGACTAAAGAACTCTTTGCGAAAATTGTATTTAATAGAAGTTAGGTAATATAAATAACCTTATAGGGGTGGCATGGTCCCTGTGTGACTTAAAACTCATTTATAAAAATAAAGGGAAAGAAAAAAAGTTTCTCAGAAACTAGAATTAGATATTTTTTTACCTGTTTTAGTTAATGTTGGCAATGAATCTAACTTTGTGCTATCATTAGCAACAACACGTTTATCCTTCATATGGTAGATAAAAATGTTGAAACGTTTTTAAACAAAATGCCTCGTTAAATTGATGAGCCTACTATAATTAATGGCTAAAGATTCATGAAAAAGGTCACATCGTTTTAGGGCGATTTTGCTTACTGTTTGGCCACAGTTTATATTGAAAATGCGATGATATAAAGAGGAAAATTCTCAAAATAAATTAGTGGTTGCTCGTTTTTGAAAAAAAAAATCGATGTAGTTTAACACAGAATAAAGTGTAATTTAAGTAAATTTGTATTCTTATTGAAAAACGCTTAAAAAACTACTTTGTCCCTGGCACTCTGAGATGGGACTCGAACCCGTGACCATCCGCAATCCGGGCGACCGCTCTCACCACTGAGCTAGCCAGGACCTAACAGGACTGACGAATCTTTCAAGCACTTGTTATTTTTCAAGCATTTTTAGTTAAGAATATTTCTCATTATAGCATTGTGGGTGTAAAATTGATCAAGTATAATAATAACCATTGTATGTTAAAATGCTATTGAATATTATAATACAAATATTATAACGTGGAATATCGGAATTTAGGGTTACGTAGTAAATAAGAAACCCTAAGAACTCTAATACAAAAACAACCGTGATTTTTTTACCTTTTTCAATGGATCATCATCATCATCATCAGCCCTTTATTTCGTCCCCACTGCAGGGGCTCAGGCCTTCATTATGGATGATTAAGGAGCATCGGCCATGATCCTCAACGCTGGCCCAATGCGGATTGGCGGGTATTAACGACTACAAATGCAGCCGGGACCAACTTAACGTGCCTTCCGAAGCACGGAGTAGCTCAAGATAATATTTTTTTAGTTACCCATCACGTGATCGGCCCTTGCGAATGTTGCTCAACGACAACGATCGCGTGCCGCGGCGCTTATCCTCTACGCCAACGAGCTACAATGGATAATGGAACGGAACCACGTCCGCGAGTTAAACTCGCGATTGGCCGGTTTTTTATTTATAAATTACTAATTAAACAAGATGTCAGAAACAATGTTTAGAAAATTACCTGAAATATTTTTTCCTTTTCAAGTTAATCAATTCGATCATTTAAATTAATTTATCTAATTATTTATTAAAATTCAATTAAGTTTATAACCTATTTTAATATGCTGTCAATATCTTGACGTCCAGAGCAGCTCCGTTTCTTAATTTAACACGTACTTTTGAGACGTAATAAAATTAATTATCGTCTATTTAAAGTGTAATTGAACGTTAGAAACTTTTTTATACGAAGTTTCTTTTACCGGAGATTACCAGAGTCCTGATTTATGTTTACTTTAAAAAGAATCAGAAGCGAATACCATTGTTTATTGCCTACGAGTATTACTATAATCTATACTCATATTATTGCAATGTCAAGACATAATTAGACGACTGTTACTTGAAAAGTATGTTTTTTTCTGTTTAATTGTTATATTAACTTAACCTAATGAAGAGGAAGGGCATTATAAAAAGGAAGGGTTTTTGCATTTGCTTGTTTGCATTAGTTACAGTAGGTTCCGAAAATACTGGATGGATTTTAAAATTCTTTAAACGTGGGCTATAATTTAACAGCTAGTTATTTATAAATAATAGGAATGATTAATTTTTGATCGTTTGTCCGTCAGGTAGATGATTGAAGTATATTAAACGAGTATTTTTTTATTTTTTCGAGTAATCAATCAATTAAGGCGATACATTGAGTTGAAATGTCGCATGACATCAACTTTAATACCTATTACATGAGTAGCTCGGTGGCGTAGTGGATAAACGCCGCGGCCCGCGATCGTTGTCGTTAAGCAAGGGTCGGCCACGGGATGGGTGATCAAATTAAAAAATATATATATGCTCGTGCTACTCCATGCTTCGGAAGGCACGTTAAGCCGTTGGTCCCTTAATACCCTCCAATCCCGATTGGGCCAGCGTGGAGGGTCATGGCCCATTCTCCTTAACCATCCATAAGGAAGGCCTGAACCCCTGCAGTAGGGACGTGAAAGGGCTGATGATGATGATGACATAAGTTATTTCTTATGAATGAATGAATGAAATATACTTTATTGTACGCCAGTACAGGACAAAACAATCGAATACAATCAAATTAAATACACAATGCCTTATTACTAAAAAGTAATATCTTCCAGGCAACCTTTGCGTACAGGAAAAGAACTGTATCTAAATTTGTATGCTTATGGTGTCTCAAAAAATTTAGTAAAATAAAAATATAGAGGTATATTTAATAATTGAATAACATAATAAATACCACATAAACAAAATCATACATACATATAATATTCATATATACAATATACTCGTAATATAGGATATACCTACACAAATATAGGAGATTAAGGATTCAAGGTGAGTGATAGATAGCCAATTAAAACTCTTTAACCAATCCTTTAAAAACGTGTATGCTTTGTGAATTGAAGGAAAAAAAATATATTTAATATTTGTCTTCAATCTGACTGACAGACGGTCTAAATAGAATTTATTAAATTTTACCCAGTCATCGTCCCGTTCGACCCAAACAAAAATATACAATAACATTGATATCATAACTAAGCGGTATCTGTTGCGGGTGCATAATCTATGGATTAAATGATAAAATTAGTTATATTCTCTATTGGATTTGCGATACATATTTTTAATTCAATATATGTCTATACGCATTACAAAGAAACATTGCCAAATTTAGCGCATTTAAACTTACCAAAAAATAAACATTAGCTTACTTGCATACTTCTTTGTGAGCTTGTGAAAATTTCCTCATGAGCGCCTCCCATTGGGATACGCGTTTCTCTGAAACTTCTCTGAAAATGAACACATTTAAACTCGGGATTGCTCCAGTTCTTTATTATAATCATACGAATGTGCGAATTTTGTACTCCAACGTGTTCTGTTCTATGCGGACTCTGTTAACTTGACTCGTTCAAAATGGTACATGAATATAAATGGGAATTAGTGTTTTGTAATTATTATCATAATTTCACAGTCTGATATTTAAGTATTTAAAATTGAAAATATAGTAGTGAAACATTTTCACTGTTTTACAGAAAGGTTTAGTCAAACAACAGGAAGAACTGGTAAATGGTACGATGAGTGGTGTGTATATATTATTTTTTTTTACTATACAACGTCTATACATTGCTCAGTTTCAAAGATGGCTAGCTAAAGCCTCCTTATTATGGGGTATGTGAGATAACATCCAGACCCGAGACAATATAGAATAGTCCAATTTTTACATTAATACGATCAGGAATCGAACCCGGGACCTCAGAGATGGTGCTACAGAAATCGGAGATTTACTGCTAAGCGCGGAGTAAATTGTGTGATAGAGAAAAACAGCTGCATTTATTCTCCTTTCTACTTGTACATAGTAAATAAATAAAATTGTTAAAGAAACTAATTTTGAATGATTTGATACTCACTGTGGGACAGACATAATCTATGTTGATTTTTCAGTTCAAATATCTGAAAATAAATAAAGATTATTATACTCTTGTATTCAATATCCTATTAATATTATAAATGTGAAAGTTTCTTTGTTTGGATGTTTAGATGTTTGGATGTTTGTACGTCAATCACGCCGAAACTACTGAATGGATTTTGATGAAATTTGGTATACAGATAGGGTGTTAGCTGACTTAGATAATAGGATACTTTTTATCCCACTAAACATTTCCCTAGGGTCCACGCGGGCGAAGCCGCTGACGAAAGCTAGTTACTCATAAAATCTTAATTGATAACATAATAATATTCTAATAATATTACATAATAATATTCTCCAAGTTGTTATAATTAAAAAATGAATATACACTGTAATATTAATTAAAGCAAAAAAATATATTTAATGAACTGTGGTCATAGTGGGTCGTACTTTGCTGCTAAATATAAAATCGCAATGTGACCGAGCATCGTCATCATTATCATATCATCAGAGAACGTCTACTCCTGGCCTGGCCTCGATCGGTTCTATGCGGTCATGGTGCTTAGTCCATCTCGATCGAGATCTGCCTACGTCTCGTTTGGACCGTGTTTGGCACTAGAGGACATTACTGCCTATAAGCAGTCATTGTCGGCATATTCGCCTACAATTTGAACTGCCTTTAGTATTATTTTGGAGGATGAGGGTGGTCAGTTTGCAGACGGCCTTCGGATTCTTACCCTCAAAAAGAGAGTACACTGCAACGTTTTTAGATGCTATCCCTCAGGTTTCTACGATGGAGGGCCCCGTTCGAAAGAGCTATGTTTCTTGCCAGGCGATGAATAATAAAAAAACTAGTACAAGTATTATCCTATTATAATATTATAAATGTGAAAGTTTCTTTGTTTGGATGTTTGTCGGTCAATCACGCCGAAACTACTGAACGGATTTTGATGAAATTTGGTATACAGATAGGGTATTAGCTGACTTAGATAATCGGATACTTTTTATCCCACTTAACATTTCCCTAGGGTCCACGCGGGCGAAGCCGCTTGCGAAAGCTAGTCTTAAATAAAATTATGACATTAAAAATTATAATGTCAGCCCATAGAACGTTTAACGTCTTCAGGAGAAAGGTAAATAATATGTGGACAGTTTAGTATTCGCGACGGATCACGGTCATGGTCAAACAGACCATCACATGAATTATTCATCACAAAAACAGTGAAACTCGGCATGTGCTGAAGACAATGCATTTATTGCTTTTAAAGGGAACCGAGTTCCGCCTCGATATCCCTGTTTTCTAATTGTATCTTAGAAAATGCTTTTTCTGAGACATACACCGTTGTATTTTATATTGTATGTAATTGATTTAGTTTTATGACAAAACTAGATTATTATAACTATATTTCCGCATGCACTACTCGTTTCATAAAATAGGCATCAAATCTTTAATTGGACAAGGTTTATATTTCAGAAACAAAATCACGACGATTTTTAGGCCGCCTTTCGCATTATTTGACGAGAAATATGGTATAAAATCATGTAAATTAAACCATGAATATCGTACCATGATTATTGTACGATATTCATTGTGTACGATATTCAATGCCGAGATATGGCTTACAACTGAAAAAAATATCGTTGAATTTTGTAACAATGACGAAATTAGTAGTAGATAAATATTAGTAAATTTGCGGGTATATGATGGTTATAACTTACAATTGCCTATTATGATATGTGCTCACATTGCCGTTTGCCGCAAAGCCCAAACCTCTACAAACTAGTAAATGAGTGAACATATTGCAAGCGTGTGAGGTATCATCATCAGCCCTTTTACTTCCTCACTGCAGGGGCTCATCCCTTCCTTATGGATGGTTAAGGAGCATGGGCCATGACCCTCCACGCTGGCCCAATGCAGATTGGAGGGTATTAACGACTGCATATCGTTAATAGCCTCCAATCCGCATATATAGAGGTAACTTCTCTTTAATTAACTAGCGCATACAAACTAAGTCAAACACTATCTAAAGGAAAAATAATTTCAATTTGTGATGGCTAGTTGAGGTTCGGCAAGCAATTTTTATAGAATAAACTTTTAAAATATGTAACAGTACACTTGCACTTGCAATATAAGTTTATTAAAGACAATGCAAAAATGAACGTACGTACCAATAAATAAATAATTGTCTGGTTTGATTGTTTTACAAAAAGTAATATTGAACTTTCAAGAAATTAATGAATATCCATTATATTTCAGTATGCAGTTAATAAAAATATAAAAAATCTTTAAACACACAGCAAAACATGACCATAGAGTCTATGAAAATGACAAATTAATTAAAGTCTAATCTTTTTTAAAAGTTGATAGTTGTTTATAGATCACCAGCAATTACAGATTCTGTTTCAATTAGGGTTCGCAAAAATCTGACCGATATTTGATTTTTATCAGATATATTATGAATATGAAAAGTTTTTAAAGCTGCTAGTGGCTTTATTTAATATTTGATCTTTTATATCAAAAGTGTAAAATAAAGATTGTGTTTAATGTGAACTTAAGCATTAATTCGGGCAGACTTGGGGCCAATGTTGCCAGCATCACATTGGGTTGGTAATTGTTTTTTAGCAGAGGATCAATACTCAATGTTCATACTAATAATATATATTACAAATATGAATTGATATATATAATTGAATATTCAATATATATCATGATATATATCAGTTGATATTTATTAGCGAACCTTGGTTTCAATTTTACCTATGTATAATTTTTAAAACACTTTGGAATCAAGACAAAAAAAAATTAAACAACTTTTTTCCCAATAGAATAAAATGTCATTTGAATTGTAAAGTTTGAAATAATTGACAAGTTTTTATTTAACTTGCAATGTAAATTTAATTCATAAAATCTTGCTGAATTTTAAAACAATCACCTCTGTATTCTTTGATTGTATTCCATAAATCATGAATGTTTACAAATATAAGCTGAGGTATATAAATTTAAATCTAATATATTGGACGGCCTAAGATAGCGGCCAAGTTATTTTTATATACATATGGACCACCCTATCATAATATAGGTTCCAAAAAATAAGATTTGCTAAGAAAAATAATTAAATAATTTCGTTCGAAAAACAATATGACCACTTAAGACTGCAAATTGGTTACGTTTAAAGTACTTATGTGGCACACATAATATGGGTATCAAATGAAAGGGTTCGCCCAGACGATTATTTTAAGATATATACAATAAAAAATAAATCTTTATCTCCATAGACATTGATGTTAATCGTTGAGGAAAAACATATACATAAGGACACTAACACAATATTCGCAAGTTTATCATGATAGAGTACCAATATAACTCAGTTTGTTTTTGTAGAAAATCGTAACTAAAACTTCTGATGTAGCTTCACTATGAAAACTACCTACTACGCATTCTACTAAAGATGTTAAGAATATACATAAAAGAAAACAATATCGTTATCATAATTTAGTATATTAGTCGGACAGTTGGCGTAGCAACACACCTACATGTATTGTTTCAAAAATCCATTGTACGTTACTTTTAATAATTAGTAACGTTGACTGTCCGCAATTTGTTTCAGAGAAAGTACTTAAGTATACAAAACTATGGGTCGACCGCTTTACCATTCATATGTCTGTTTAATATCCGATTATTCGAAAGTATACTTTATATGGTCCCGATAGGGGTGATACAGCACTTATAAGTTTTCCCTATTGCAGAACAGCATAATGAGGAAATGAGTACAATAATTCAGTTGGGCAAAGATCCCTTTGCTATCACATTATCACCGTAATACCAAGGATGGAAGAGCGATAATCCATTGTAATAGTACACCGGGAATATTTGTCACGTTGTCTGCGAGTGTTGAATTTTTTTTTTTTCTCTCAACTACTTTGAAGTGAAAATGAATCCGTCGGGACAATACAGCGAATGTTTATTTGAAATGGGAAAAGTCCAATGTAGTACGTGTTTTAGTGGTCTGTTTTAGTTTTAAGTATCTCTTTTTTATTATGTATTTTGTCTTCTGTATTTATGGTCTATTACTAAATTTGCTTCGCATTTCAAATGTTTGTACATATTTCTATTTTTTTATTTTTCGTCAACATATTATGCATAGAAATTGTTTAAAAATCATTTTTACCCAACTACATAAATAAGGACGGTATTGTGTTACATCATCCCAAGTGGCTATATATTTATAAAAAATATTCGATATGGCGGATGTAAAATTTGAAAACCATTTTTTTATTTAATTATGAGTACATATTACTTGCATACATCCTTAATTACTTTCTATAAGGAATAAAAAAATAATTAATAAATTTGAAAAACAGGACTACCAAAATCGAACTGAAACAAGGTGTATTACGGCTTGGCTAAATAAAATTCTTATAGCAGTCGGGGGACCTCTTTGATAACAAATGTTCTACAAAACGCTCTTATGGTGCAATATACAAATTGTTTCTTTAATTTTTAGTTCCAGAAGTGTTTTTATTTTTTTTATTATTTATTTTTTATTTATATAAATCGTTGAGGAAAAACATACTTAGATATTTAATCAACGAAAGTAATAGGAAACAAAGCAAAACAACATATGAAAAAATCAAAGCTGATTTTGTGATATGCTCATTTTATTAGTAGCCTTCACTCAGCAATGTAAGCACGTAAAGTGTTTTCTTCCTTTCAAATTGTTCGTTTTCCCGACGTACAGAAGGTAATTCACGGAACGGCCTAATT